TTCTTGTTTTCATAAGCTTGTGTCCTAGTAGTAGCTTTTTGTGTGCATGTGTGTGTGTGTGTGTGAATAGGCTCTTAAAACAATTCCATTTTCTATTAAGGTGCTGTCATTTTTTATTCCTGTGAATTTTGCATTTATCAAAGATTAAAACACCAAAGAACCTCATGTATTCATTACTCTTGATTTATTACCTGATTCTTAATTTTGTTCATGTTTAATACAAACATGTCAAATTTAATTTCTGGTGTGGTGGCCAAAGGCTTCATGTCACCTGGTGATTTTTCTTACTACCATTGCAGCAATGTGGGGTTGTTGTCGGCTGGGCTTAAGGCATTTCTCAATACACAATCTGGAAATCAGGTGTTGTTTTCAAGTCAGGTTCTTTGATATGTGTGCATCTTTTTTTCAAGAATGTCTGCATATTTGCCTGCTGATTTTGGTCATATTTAAGTCTGAGGATCTCGCTGAGGTCAACGTCCTATTTTGACAAAAGCTCTGCTAAGAGTAAATGAAAATAACTCTGGAGGAGCAGCCTTTAGGAGCTTCTAGACTTGCTCAGGACTTTGACCGCTAAGGGCTACGGCCTCGGCGGTACCCAAGGGACGCAGACACCATGTGTCAACCTCTGACCACACGCAGCCTCGGCGGTACCCAAGGGACGCAGATAGCATGCATACATCAACCACCAACTGTACACGGCCTCAGTGGTGCCCGAGAGACGCAGATAGCATGCATTACTTCCCACAGTGGTACCACATGCATACAGCTTCCCTGGCTTTTGAAATCTGTCTCCCAGTGGAGGATGTACTGGGTGGAAACAACAAGCAAGAAAGTGAGCGTGGTCTCTGCAGAACACTGTGGGAGGGATGGAGCCACTGTCCCTCTGGTACAGTGCAGGTACAAGTTGCTCCCTCACTTCCGCTCAAGGAGAGACTTTTTAAGAACCTCCCAGTCCCTAAATCTGGAAACAGAGCGAGGGAAGGGGTTTAATTCCTACCTGGAGAAAATGGAGGATCAGAGATTGCTCTGAGGCTGCTCTGGGGTACAGGAGGAGAGTGGTGGACACACTGGGACCCAGTTACCGCACAGCCTCATAGCTGATTTTTTCTGGGGAGCCACTGTGCCATTTCTGGCTCTGTTTCATGGGATGCCAGGAGGAGGATGCCCCGCTCTTCCAGAGGACTGATTTTGTGTATTAATGGCCTATTAGGAAGAACCATGTCCAGTCAGGCTTAGTGCAGGCTAGAGATGCCTGTGACACGAGGAGAGTGGGTGTTCCTGAAGAACTCTGAAGTCCTCACAAGTTTCCACTTCTTCCCAGATAGCATGGCCCCATCTCAAGCAAGGTCAAGCAAAACCGTCCTCATCCTCATCACTTCCCAAGCCTTGAACTTCAGGGCCACAGCACAGGAGACAGGAGAGATGTGGCAGAGGCAGTGAGTTGATCGTGTCCATTCTCCTTCCTAGGGGTCCCCAACGTTGAGCAGGGGAAAATAACATTTGACAAAAATCAGATCCTAAAGCTCCATGGCTTCCCACAGTGTCTCTGGATAAAATATAGGGGTTTTGCAAATTCATATGAGAACACTGCTGTTCTTTTTTCTGGCCTCTTTGTGTTGTTTAGCAAATCATTCAGTGATGACCATGGGCCGCTGAGCCATGGTGTTAGCATCACACTTTTCTTGCACCACATTCCTGCTGCAGCACATGGCTCCAAACGCCACTCCTGCCCAATGCTGCCTCTAAACCACAGTGACATCTGCGGCCTGGGACAGGAGCAAGCAAGCACACAATCAGTCTGCCCATTTAATTTGAATCTAACTGGCTTCCTTCGTCATTCCAGCAGCCTTTTAAAAGAATACATTTAAAGCATGTTTCTGGCAAGGGCCATGGGCTACTCCAGCTGGATAAGGGCAAGAGGCATAAGAAGGTCGTTACCCCTCACTTACATTGGGAGTTTTCATTGTCACATAGGGGACCAGATGTCCTAATCTCTAAATTGAGGTTATGTTTTGCCACATCAAATGACCATAAAAGTTCAATTTCCTTAAAACAACTAGAAAATTAATGGCACTGACTGATCAGAAGAATGGGCTAAATCAGCACTACTGAAATAAGAGAAAACAAAAATAAAATTGTTATTCATATCTACTGCTATTCCCCACCAGCCTGAGAAATTAACTCTCACAGCTGATGCAGAAAGATCTGTAGGCAACTATTGTTAGGATGTTCAGAATATTTGTTCGCTAGGACAGTAATATTTTCATAGTGATTTATACACTCAAAACTCAGGAGTTTATTTTCATACGTTCTTTAATGTAGTGTTTTAAGCATTGTGCCCTTTTGAGGCTCTGTTTGTTTTTAAGGAGAACATTAATGCACACTAAAGAAACTTCTGGAAGTAGCTGTTGCATATTTGCTTATTTCATTGTGGTCTCTAAGAGCAAAAGGCAAGCACCTGCCCAGAAGTTCATTCTTATTGAGCCTTCTGCTGGTCGTTTCACCTTCCGTAACTAACAATTTAACTGTGAAAACTTATGCCTAATTATGGAATGTAACTGACGTTCCAACTGAGAATACAGATGTCGATCTATGAACAAAGATATCTTCTTATATTTATCTTCACCAATAGACAGAATAAACATAATCAACCAGGCATCTTACTGCAAAGACAACACCAGGCAGGGACAGCCATGAACGTAAATCCACTAACCCATTCAGACACAGGAATTGGAGCAAACTGCCACTGTTAAATGCTGTGATCCTCAAGGCCCGGCCTTACAGCCCAGTTCCCTTATTGTCGGTGTCTTGTTTAAAGCTCAAAGACAATCATCACAAGATTCAGTTACGGCAGAGCAATCACTTGCAACATTTACGCTTTATGTTCAATAAAAAGGCCACAAGGAATGTCAAAATTAAAGATGGTTGAAATGATAGCAATTTGTTGCTCTGTACTGATTCCTTCAATAGCTTCTCTACTGAAGTGTGTATCTGCTTAGCTGTGATGGAAATATATACACTGTTTGTATTTAGCAGTGATTTTTAAAACATAAAGTGGTAATAACTTCTTATACACAGAAGAAAGCTCTGCTGTGTTGGGCATTGTTGCATGCAATAAATGAACTAAACAGCTCAGACGCTCCCAGGCCCGGAAACTGTCCTCCAAGCAGGGACAAAGGGCGGCCAACTGCCTCTATCTGACTCAGCTCGCATGCCGTCCTGCGTTCGGTACTCTTCACCTCTCTCCCAGGCACCGTGTCCCTCAGGGGCTCCTCTACTTGGTGGCTCTTTACCCCTTGTCTTCACACACCTGGATCCTTCTCCTCCCCTTAACCCCCATCCCCTAAGCCCTCTTTCCTTCTGTGTCACATGATGAAGTGTGCAGGGTCAAGGCTCTCAATATCCTGTGAGTGCTATTGCTTCAGGAAGTCCTTCCCTAGATCATTCCTGAATTCCAGACTGCAAGATCCAACCACAAACCCAATGGCTCTCTCAACTCAACATTTCCAAAATGCATCCTGCTCCAAGCCCTCTTCTGTGCCATCAGCCCTCTGTCTCACCGGATGTCAGTCCATCGCACCTGGGGACATTCTGGGAGTCCTTTGACCTTGTACCACACCACCCATTGGGAATCCTTGTGGGATCCCTTAACACAGGTTTAACTGGCCAATTCTTGTCGTGTCAGCTTCTAACACCTCCGCAATCCATACAACCTGCATTGCCGCATAAGTTCCTCTTTGAACTCTCAGCTGCTCTCCCAACTTGTACAGTGGCTTCTAATACAGGAGCTGCCCAGAGAGCAAGCTTCTTACGTTGGAGGTAGGACCTAGACACCTCTCTTTGAGACTTTCCAACACAACACAGGGGCCTGCTGGGGGTGTGGTTGCTGTCCTCTTTGCATTTGCAATGACTGACATACCCGAGAGGCCTGACTCCTTATGGCACCTGTTACCCACTTTCCCACTGAAACACAGGTCTATGACCAGAGAGGCACCGTGGCTCCCACTCACGGTTTCATTCACAGCAGGCGAGAAGCCCTGTTTGCTTCACAAGCTGTACAGAATGCTTTGTCACTTAAATTTGTCAACATTCCTTAATTATTAAGACATAGATTTTTAGTCATTTAAAATCTATAAATAAAAATCTTGGAAGACAAAATTTAGAGGAGTATAATTATAAAACGTAATAGTGTTGATTTTTACAATTTTAAAAAAATATTGTATTCTTTTAAATTCTGTCCTTCAAAATCAACATTTAGGAAGAGAATTCCACCTAGAGGTGTCAAGGCATCCAACCTGCACTTAATCTAAAATGCTTCAGTCTCTTTGGAATGTTCCAGTGATAAAGACCTAATTAGAAACACTATCACGTCTATGAAGCCTGCATTGCTGAATTTCATATTTCTTTCTGCTCTTCTATTTGACTACAATTTTCATCTGCTCCTGCTCCCAAATCCTGAAATTTCTTCACTAAATATTATTTAATTTATCTAGTACAGGTAAATTTAAACACCAGTAGAGTAAAATGTCTTATAAAAATTAACCCAAATTGAATTGATTTGATTTTGATTACATGCAGCTTGAGAACAACAAAGTAGTGACAAGAATTTGCTTCCTTCAAGGAATTAACTCACCCAAGAGATCTCTATTTTGTTTAAAACTAAAACGAAAGGCATTCCCTGTAGGCTATATCTTAAAATATATATTGACAAAGTAAAGCATAGAAATGATTGAAATGTATAGAAAAACCACACATTCACAGTAAGCTTGAAGAAATCCTATCAACACAGGACACACTAGCTCTCTTAAAAGACTGGCATGAGTATTTGCACTGTGTTCTTTGCATATTTGTGTACTGCCCAAAAATTCGTGCAATGAATTCACCACTTTAGTGATAAGAAAGAAACCATACTTAAAGGTGAATTATATCCAATTGTATTTTTTTAGAAATTGAACTACCTTCCCTGTTAAACAGTGTCCAAGTCAGACACGCTCGCTTACCAGTGTCACTCCCTCGTCGCTCTTCTCATTGACGTTGCCTCCAGAGGACAGGAACTGTTTGACATCCGATAACATGCTCAGCGGTCTCTGCAGCTTCAACTGACACAGCAAGGTCAGGTCCACTCCTGTGGAGAAGAAGCCACTTGAGACCAAATGCAGAGACACCCAGGCCAAAGCCTGTTTTTAGGAATTCGGAGTTGGACCAGTGATTTATCTTTTTTTCAGGTGTCAGAATTGAATTCTACATGTGAAAGAACCCAAAGGTGATTCTACTCCACAATCCCGTTATTTTGCTAGATTTCATCATGTTGTCATGTGTGTTGAAGGTGGACATTTCCTTGAGATAGTTAACGTATACAATCAAAGCTGAGTGATGAAAGCAGATCCAGGCTTACAGAGGACAACACAGACAAAAACACGAAGATCTGGCCACAGTCTCGGCACTCGGCTTGACAGCACACTCCATCACAGGAACAAAGTGTTTCTGCTTCTTATTGAGAAGACACTAGGAAAATCTGATGGCACTCTGTCCCATCATTTTGAAACTCAATGTAAAGCCAACACTACATCAGCTGAAACACACTTTCAAGAAAGAAGCACACCTCAGTGGGACAACACAATTTCTTAGCAATTCTTTGTCTTCATTGTCGGGAAAGTTGAACTGCTGCCCAATCAATCAAACAAGGTAATAAGAACCCACATTCTGTCTATTTCATAGGGTATGAAGGACTCATATCAGATTCAAAAAAGAAATGCATTTTTATTTTCATACTATATGCTGAAAGTAAATTTCACATGAGCTTGCTTAGATTTATTCTCTTAATTGATGAATTGAGAAACAAAATGGTTGGCCTGACAGTCACACGTCATTACATTGTCCACTACTTTTATGGGCTGATTACATTGGGGACTTCCATAGAAACGTCTGAAAACCTGAAAGTCAGCCTCAAGTCAGCCTCAACTCCATCTCCTGTCTCTTCTCCCTGCCCCGAATTTGGGAAGAACCACTCCACCTCTCCTCCACTGCTCGCACCACACCATGCCAGAATCCCATCAGGTATGGGCTCCCAAGGGGGGCGCAGCTCTTTACCCAGTGCTTGAAGTAGCTGTCACTTGTCTGAGCCTCTGGGCCTCCTTAGGGGACACTGCTCCCTTCCACTTGCTCCCTGCACTCATCATACTTTCCACACCATAGCTTCCTGCATCATCACTGGTTTTACAGAGAATAGCCTGCGGGACTTCAAAAGGAAAATAAAGCTAAATGGGCACCTGCAATTCACTAAAATATGACTCGTGCCCAATTTTACGCGAGGTTCTATAAGCTCACGGGATAGTAGCGAACCCCAAACTTTGTCTCCATGGTTAGTGTTCCTGAGAGATCGTGGAAGCAAAAGACAAAAGCAATTAAAGAAAAATGCTTCCAGCAAAGAGACATAAACAACATACTCAGACCAACCTCATCTGGTCTCTCTCCCTCAAGCTCTGGTGCCAGCCTTAACCTGAGGCTGTTTTAAGTACAGCAGGATGCCTTTCCCATGGTTCTGAGAAGGGTGAATAAACATTAAACTGAGGGAAGGCTCGGGGCTTTGAGGGGCTGCTTAGTGCCAGAGGTCTCTGAAAGGCAAACGGGAAAGGTCAATCCTTCCAAAGGAGACTGCAGGAACTCACAGCACGAACCACACAGAAGACCATATGATCACCCCTGGAGGTGACTCATCAGCTCAGGGAAGCAGGAGCTGTAAGATTTGATGAGAAGCAGGTGCAGTGGAATGGGAAGAATAAAAGTGATATTCAGTTAGCAAGGTTCCTCACTGTAATTGTGAAACTTGACACACGCATGGAGTGTGACAGGGCAGTACTAAGTTCCATACTGGACACTGTGTTTCAGACTATATGACATCCAAGTCAAGATATTGAATAAATTTGCTGAAGCAGAGCAGAAGGGCTTAAAACATCATTCAGCTAGAGGAGGATTCTTGGAAGCAGACACATGGCCCAAACACAGGCACAAGGTGACTGACCAGCAAGTTAGTGGAGCTCCAAAGTCTCACAGCCAAGCCCAGGGATGGCTTACACGAGGGGGTGTGGAAACACAAGCAGAGTGAGGAAGGACACCGAAGGTAGATGTTCAGGAGACAGAAGGAGTCTGGAGAGAATGTGGCAAGACAGTCTTCCAGAGAACGGCATGGAGAGACGTCAAGAAGGGAATGGGGAAGTGGTGGCTGGGAGAATGCTAAGCACCGCGAGGCTGACCGCTGTAGGAACACTTCCCAAAGATTGGTGGGGTCGGGAGCTTAAGGTCAGTGGGCTGAGTAACAGCAGACAGGTGGCCAAGCAGAATAAAAACAGCTGCTTTTTTCCCCCAGGATCGGCTTGAAGAGGGTGGCGGGCAGTGACGCCTGCAGAGCCGAACAGGACTGTGGCCTTTTCCCAGGATGGGAATATTCATCTTTGCATCTGAGACCACCCTGAACTCTTCCCTCTTCCCGCTGCTCCCTTCCTAATTAATGGCATTCCCTGCAGCACAGCTCCTTTGCTTCTGCCAGGATGAGCCAAGTCCACTTACGGGCCTGGGAAGCACAGGATGAGCCACGTCACACCCCTGAGCGAGGAATACAGTGTGTGTTAGTGGTGACAGCACAACTGAGACCCTTGACCAACAATTTTCCACATACCCAACTTGTTCGCTAGATAGTCCACCTCCTGCCACCTGAACCCTGAAGTGAGAGCGGGTACACACTCCAATTAGAACCCACACGATGCAACTGCCTGTGAGAACACGGTGTGGAACCGCCAAAAGCCACGAGACACACAAGTCTCGGCTGGGAACCTGGGAACCACACAGGGACACCACCACGCCCTGTGTCAGCTGCTGACCCTCCGAGTGCACCAGTGATGCACCCAGACAGCAATGCAATCCGAGTCTTGCTGGGAACCCAACCAGTGATGCAGACAGGCAGGAGCGAGCGTGACAAATGAGGACCAGGCTGAGACTGGGGTGAGCGAGCGCAGGTGCATCCACCGATAGAGCCAGGGCAACACCAGGGACACATGGAAAACAGAATTAAACATTCAAGACATATTAAATTGAATTTGTTCCAGCAAACTTATGCTGCCCAAACTGACTGTGACAGCCACTGCTGTGACCGATTTTCTGCTGTCCATCCAGAATCAGTATCTCGGGGATGATTCTACCGATTCAGCAAATACTAATACGTTTTAGTGACTTGAAACCAGGTAAGCGATGATGTCTTCACAGACAGACATCTTTTCCTTCTTGGACTGCACACCGCGGGAGCTGTATTTTACTGTCAGGCCACTTGGGGATACCGAACTACATCAGTAATGCACTGACATGTCTGTGATGAGTGAGCATCTGTGAGAGCCTCAGCAGCATGTGCAAAGCTGTCACGTCTCCACTCCTCTTGCTGTTCTAGAAGCCTCCACAGCACTCAGCAGAAATGCTCTGGAATCAGACGTTTCACATGGTACCTGATGCTTAAAGAGTTTAGGGGGTGGAGTTATCTGGATTCTCAATTTCTGCATTTGGAATGCTGAGTCAATAGCATGCATGCAGACCTTCCCAAGTCCAAAGGACTATGGAATTTGAAGCTCCCCGGTCCCCAGCATTTGCAGAAGGAACATGGGGACACATCCTGTGGGATCTAACCTCCCTAGGCCAGACCACAGGCTGCACTGCTGGCCACACCGTAGGCAACACGGCAGCTCTGCTAACTGCAGGTGTGGCCGCAGACAGTGCAAATCTCACACTGTGTGTCACACGGGGGCTTCTGCAAAGACCAAAGCTTTACCTCTACTGCAGGGAAATCTGCTTCATCGCAAGCTCTGCTTCCTGCAGAAGCAACAGAATCTTCCCTGTCAACTCAGAGCTAACAGGATCTGAAGACCATGCAGACCTGAGGGGTGCCCTGCCTCGGCAACCTGTGACAAAGGGAAATCAGACTGTCCCCCCACTTAAATCCAAGGAGGAGGAAGGGGAGAGCCCTTAAGTCTGGATGGTTCCCCCACCAGGGGTCAACCTCCAGCAGACTGGATTTCCATTGTTGTTATTTATACTTAAATGGCAAAAAAAAAAAAAAAAAGGCAAGCATGGTTCTGTATCAGGCTTAGGAATTCAAATTTTGCCCTGCTTTCTAAGAGCTGTACTTACTCACAGAATTATACACTTTGGGCTCATCTTGTGAGGCTAGCCTCTCGACCGTGGCCTCTCGACCGTGGCCTCTCGACCGTGGCCTCTCGACCGTGGCCTCTCTCCTGTGTCACCCAAGGAAGTCCCGTGCATGGCGCACACTCCTCGGGACGGAGCCCTCATCCGCTGACCCTTACCAAGAACACCTGCTTGCGAGAGTAGACACTGCATCGGACCTTGCTCGCATTAGCTTAACAGTGCTGGTTCACTTCCCTTCCCCTCCTGGAGCAGGGCAGAATATAATCACAAACCCAGGCCTATTAATTACAGGCTCTATATGCCTCTACGTTTGTGTTGCCTTGAGAAAAATTGGTCATGCAGTCCAGAAAGAACAACGAGAAGCTGAACAGAAAAATACCTTATCTGACACCATCTAAAGAAAGGTCGCCAATTGGAAATGATGTAACCATGCCTACACAATGAACACACACTTATAATCCCCGTCTCTTTCTGTTTCATAAAGCTGCAACCTACCATTTTCGTCCAGATAGGTCAATAAGATAGAGCTGGACTCAGTCCCTTCCACGGCGTAATCTAAGGGGATGTTTCCATTGACATCCTGGAGAAGGACGTTGGCTCCAGCCTATGCATAAGAAAGAAAAAAGAAAAAACAATAGCATGAAATGCACAGCTAAATTGAAAACAAGTTACAAGACTCTCTTTACTTGTAGGGAACAGACCCAGAAGTGGTTTCTGTCACACACAATCCTGAAGAATTACGGAGGACACCAGCATTATTTGGAAGACAAATATTCAGTAACCAGCAGAGATTCTAAACGTTGATTCATCATGCAACACACCTTGCCACCTGCCACTTCCCCTCCCACCCCAATTGTTTAGACCAGAATATTCCATCAATGGCCGCTAAACCAGTCTCTGTCAGCTGACTCTTGATCCCATCCAGTTTCTGTAGAAGAGCAGGGCGGTCACCTCTGGACTCTAGTTCCCACCTGGGCTCTTCGGTTGGAAACCCAACTCATGCAAGGATGGTTAACAAGAGGGAAGCATACAGATTTCACTAAATTTACACATACATGGGGATCTTCATAGGAGTCTGAAGAATGTATGAAAGATGAAGCCATGTGCTCTGCAGACAAGCCATAGTGAATGACAGGACACATGCAGGTTTGGACCAGGCTGGGGAGGAACAGCGGTGTTGCTAAGACATGGAAGACAGGGAGTATGAACTGGCAGTACGGGGCATTTCCACAGGTGTGTTTATTCAGAGCTGTTGCAGCCCCCTTTCCAGCCTCTGGTGGTCAAGGCAATTTTCTGCCTTGGTACAGAAAGCCCTCCCCAAAGACTCCTTCTGCCTTGCTGCATGTGGGACAACTCAGGTCAAACGGTCCCTGTCTCAAGTTCCAGTTCCTCAAGTGTTTTCAGCCTGTAAGAATCAATGAGGCAGTTCTCCACCTGCTGAGATGGTTGCCTTGGGCTCCTGTTGCTATGGCAACAGTTGCGCCCACAGCCTCAGAGGGCCTGAAGGGTGGACTCCTCTCTGGTCCAGCTTGCACCATCTGAGCTGCAGGATATTCTGGCAGCAACGTTCACACTACGGTGTTTTAAGACAAACCCGTGCCAGTGGCTGCAGGTTAGTTTTTCTTTCTAGAAACTGTTCTCTGGGAGGAAGCGTGACCTATAAACACAAATGGGCTGCCCACATTACCACAGTTGTGCCTCATCTTTCACCTTCAAAGAACCCACATCCTAGTGCTCTGAGCACTCCTGCTCCCCGTGGGCAGCATCCCAGCTTAAAACACATAGGGCCAGCATTACAACACAGTGGGTTAAACCACCACTAATGACGCTGACTTCTGATATCACAGTGGGTTAAACCACCGCTAATGACACTGGCTTCTAACGTCACAGTGCAGTTTGACTCCTCACTGCTTTGTTTCCAACCTGACTGTCTTCTAAAGTGCCTGTGAAAGCCATGGAAGATGGCTCAAGCGGTTGGGGCCTTGTCTCCATGTAGGAGGTGCAGATGGGGTTCCGGGCTCCTGGCTAGCCTAGCCCCGTCCTGGCCCTTGGAGTCATCTGGGGAGTGAGCCAGCAGTCCACAATGCTGTCTCCCTTTCTTTTCCAGTCATTCTGTCTTTTGTATAAATACATATTTTTTAAAATACAAGGTTTCCTTTCATTTTTTAAAGAGAAGATTTATTTATTTTTACTGGAAAATCAGATTTATAGAGAGAAGGAAAAGAGAAAGAAAAGTCTTCCATCCACTGGTTCACTCCCCAAGTGGCCACAACATCTGGAGATGATCCAGCACCCAGGAACCTGTTCCAGGTCTCCCACGTGGGTGCAGGGTCCCAAGGCTTTGGGTCATCCTCTGATGCTTTCTCAAACCACAAGTAGGGAGCTGGATGGGAAGTTGAGCAGCAGGGACACAAACCGGTGCATATATGGGATCCTGGCAGATGTAAGGTGAGGACTGTGTAGCCATTAGGCTACCACGCCAGGACCTTCCTTTCACTCTTAAAAGCTGATCACACATATTGTCATCATTGGCACATATGCGTTAATAATTAAGCTCCACTACATTTACACAACGCGGTCAACATCTTGGAGAGTGTGACATGAACCCACTATTCATAGTTTCCTATATGCTTCTAAATAATGTAGCTAAACTGGGGACAAAAAAAAAAGATTTCCCTGTTCCTTTAACGGAAAATACACCGTGACAGTGAGAACAGTCTTTTATTTGTTTGAAAGCAGAATTACGAAGAGAGAGTGATACAGGGACATATCTTCCTGTATAGTTCAATCGCCAGATTGTCAACACAGCAGGCTACACAGGGCAAGACAAGGAGCTAAGAGCATCATTGTGTACGGACCCAAACACTTGGTCCATATTCTGCTGGTCTTCCTAGGCTATTAAAGGGGAGCTGGATCTGCAGGTGGATCCGCAAGGTCTGCTGCCCCTTTGGAATGCCCATGTGGCAGGCTTTACCTGCTCAACCACAAGAGCAACCCCCCAAAGCATATGACTTTAAGACTATTCCTTGGTGCATTAGATTTAATTTTTGTTATTTGGAGTTTGAGAAAAATTACTTGTAGTACATTCTTAAGTCAGTTTTGCTAATGATACCTTTCTTTACTCTCCAAAACACAAGAATGAGATTTTGCAAAGAACACCCAAGATACTTACTAAGTCAAATGGCCTGAGAGAAAACCTCAGCGTGTCATCAGTGATTTCAACAATAACTGGAAACTACTCCACTCTCGATCACTGGGAAATAATCAAGTTCTTTATTTTCTGATTTATACATTCTTGTAGAAACCCTGTATCCTGAGCTGGCCTTGCAGCACCATGACCTGAGATGACAGCATCCCACATGGCTGCCGGTTCTTGTCCCAGCTATGCCACTTCTGATCCAGCTCCCTGCTAATGGTCTAGCAAGAGGCAGAAGATGGTGCAAGCACTGGGGCCCCTGCCATCCACAAGGGAGAAAAGGCTGAACCTTTTGGCACCTGGCTATGGCCTGGCTAAGATCTGGCCACTGTGGCCCCTTGGCAAGTGACTCAGCACATGCAAGATTTCTCCCTGTCCATCTTTCCCTCTCTCTGTATAACTGCACTGCCAGTTATGACAGAAATGAACAGGAAAACCCCATGTGCCTGAGAGGGCTGTCTCACTTGGAAATAGCGCTTTCTATATATTGAGAAGTAATGAGACTGTTTTCAAAGGAACCCTCAACCTAAAACATGGTGAGAGAAAACTGAGCTAGGTTCATTCACCACATTCCAAGTTGTGAATCATCGCGTGTTCTGTGCTGATGGAGCGCCAGTGCACCAGCCCTCCCAAGAGCCAGGAACTTCCGCAGTTACTGATCATGCCATGTTCTTCCTGCTGTTCCCCACACCCACCAAAATGCCTGGCACTTAGCACGCACTGAAGCATATTCACTAAAACCAACTGTAAAAGAAGGAGCCGGAATTCTTAAAAAGAGAGGCAAAGAATTACAACTTGCTTAACGATTCTTTTAAATCAAATTTCATGACCACTATTTTCAAAAGCTTACGGACAACACTGTAGTCACTGGGCAAACACTTAGTTGTACTGCCTTCGCTTTTACCAGATGAGCGAGAGCCATGGCTTTTGCCTGCTTTATTCCTCCTGTTGAACTGCACAGACTAAAGGAAGCTGCTGTACACCCTGGGCAGAGCAGTTCCCAAACACAGCACATCACACCTGAGCAAAGGGGAAGGACATTTTCTTCTATTTAATTCACCGTGAAGCTGTTCTCCAGGAAGCATTACTGCACTGTAGGTCCAGAGAAGGAGTCCTTCAACATGACCAAAATGGTTTCAGTTTCTAGGCTGTGCCAGTCATCTCTGTGGCCTGCCTGAGTGACCCTGGCACTGAGCTCTGCCACTGCACCTTTTCCAGCTGCGCAGGATAGGTTTGGGTCAGTAGTGGGCACTGGAGGGATGCTTCCAGAAGAGTAGAGGAGGGTCTTGCAGCTCCAAGGCCTCCCTGCCAGGTATCTACAGAAGGCTCAGAGGTGTATGACCGACCGTCAATGAATTTTCCCAGCACCGTAACAGGGAGTTTCCCTCATACCCCAGCAAATGTCCTCAAACTTTGCTAACCCAAAGCACCTTTCTTGAAGTTATCTGCCTTGCCCAGGCCACAGCTGTACCCTCTGTAATGAGATCAACATCCAGGACAGTTCCAAGAACATCCCCTCCCTGAGTCTTTTCCTGCACCCCAGGAGCATTGGCTCTCTACACCTGCTGCTCTCTCTGGATCAAACTCGGTTTCCTCTGTTGAAATGACTGCTGGGGGATTGTGGCTCCAGACTAGACACTTTTCAAGCAAGGAGCGGTCCCAAGGACAGTCCTTCACAAAGAGGGTATGGGGATTGGTATAGCTGTGCCCTGTGTCTGCGCGGGCAGCAGAGACCTGTGCCAGTGAGTGGGTGTCAGCCTATGACAAGACCTACAGCAAATGGTTCTGAAATATAAACTGAAGCAAGGCCCTTCGGGGCTGAAGGGGCTGGAGACTCATTTTAGGGCAGTGGCCTAGGCACCCTGAGCTCAATGAAGCAAAGTCCTTCCAGCAGGAGCTCGTTCCAGGCCAACCTTAAGAGAATGCGCATCCCTCACAGCAAGAGCTCCAACTGCTGAAAGTCAAAGGCCAAGTGCCACTGTACAGGAGGCCAGGATAAAATGGTGCAGAATTAACATGTCTGCAAGCGCTCAGGAACTGTGATGAGACGGAGTTCTGATCCTTGGGATGTGATATTTACAGGAGGCCAGGATAAAATGGTGCAGAATTAACCTGTCTGCAAGTGCTCAGGAACTGTGATGAGATGGAGTTCTGATCCTTGGGATGCGATATTTGCTAGTCATAGAAACTGGACCCTCGTGAACCTTGATGCCCCCAGCCAGAGGCACGGGAAGCAGACCCTCACGGATCCAGATGCCCCAGGAATCTCCCTTCACTGCCCTGTGCTGAAGAGGAATCTCCCTTTCCTTCAAAGCTCAGGATGACTTTGCTTGGGGTGAGGACCCTGAAGATGATGTTCTCTTCCCTTCACGTGCACCACACTAGCCCGTTCCTTGTGACACTCAGAC